TCACGGTCTGTGATGGTCTCTGAAGTCTGTCTGTCACGGTCTGTGATAGTCTCTGAAGTCTGTCTGTCACGGTCTGTGATGGGTCACGTGAGTGTCTGCCACGGTCTGTGATGGGTCACGTGAGTGTCTGCCACGGTCTGTGGGAGGGAGGGAGTGGGTCCAAAATTTCTACCCTATACACTTCAACACTCCTTTCACATCGTGTTTCACAAATGACTAATAGTAAGTGATCTAATGAAATAAATCGTGGCAAGAAATGAAAATCAATGTCGAATGCACTTCATTAAGTCAACATCTGAATTTAGTGAAAATATCAGAAATAAAAAATTATGATAGAAATATATGAAGTCAAAAATGTATATTTATGTAAGTATTTTTAGGCAAGATGAAATAGCGTTATATTACAATAACATTTTAAATAAGAGTACAATAGATTTTATTGTAGGAAGTATGCAAAAATGGTAGATGTCACTAGAAAATTAACTTGATAATTTAAGTTGATCAAAAGGAATTTAATATCATAAATAATCTATATCAATGATGTATTTCATATATTATTTCTCCTAGCTTTTCAAAATAAGTTTCACGTTTAATGCATCAATAAATGTTTCAGTTTGATATTGATTTGAATATATATATTTGTTCACTATATAAAGGAGGATTGGAGAGGAAACATGAATATGCTATGTAAATGGAGAGAGATAGAACACGAAGAATAAGCGAACAATAGGACAGACATAGAAAAATATAAAAGGGTGTAAACAACAAAAAATATCTATTATTCAATTTTAAAGACAAGTAAGTTTAATATATTTTATTTCTTTTTTATCTGTAAAACAATTTTTCATTGGTATATAAGAAATAGATCATGTTCTTTTTAACCTTATACAAAAAACAAGAACGTTTTCTTGACCTCGATAATACTATTCTATTTATTTGCATTTTTCTTTTTTTTTGAGATATTCAATTATAAATTCTATATTATCATAACGAATAGAAAAGATTATTAATGTTATTTCAAGAAAGAATTTATTTGATAACAAAAAAAAAGAAAACTTTTTTCTATGGCCTCGAAAAGATAAAATTTTATCAATTCGTTCTAGATTTGAATTCATATTTGTTGAAAAGCCTACTTTTTTTTTGTAATAGAATCGTAAAGATCAATTCCAAAATAATGTATTTTGGACTTTACGATAACAAAAAAAAAAAGAGAATTTCAAATAGTTTAAGTTTAATCTTTTATCTAGAACAATTTTTTGTTTTGTATTTTAAAAATAGTTGCACGATAAGCTTCAGTTTTATCAATAAGATGCGTCATAAAATAACAAAACAAATGACCTACTTTCTTTTTTCTTTTTTTTAAATTAATAATAGTGTTTCAAAGATTTTATTTATAGAAACAATATTAAGAAATACTACTGAAAACAAATATCAAGAAAGATTCGTAAGTTTTTACCGAATCTAATGAACATACTTTTGTCCTCAATATAAAAACAATATTTTTCATATGATTTACTTTAGATAAAAATTAAATATATCTACATAATAGATATCTCGAGTTTAGAGAAAATTCTTTCAGAATTTATTTGTATTAAAATTCAAAAATAAAAGCCTTGAATACTCTCATGTTTTGATTAATTCAGTTGACAAATGTCGCATGATTCAATAAAAATCATAGAAAAATTTAACTGTATTTTTCAGTTTTTTTTTCTTCTCGAAGTTCCGATCTGGCATATATCCGTAGTCAGAAAACACTAAACTGATTAATTGCTTTGAAGTTGGAACTATATGCATCATGTAGATCGAAATAAATTTTCAATATCCTGAAAAAGATTTCGCATTTTTAGATTATTGCTCTGTAGATATTGTATACTTCTCGCCACGATAGAAGTCTTCAAGACTTCTCTTATAAGGAAAGCTACTAGTATAACTTGGATGTAAATGTTATCGAAGAGAAGGTACTCACACTACATTATGAGTAGAAGAAATATGAATTTGTTAATCTGTGATAATGTTCAAATACTTGTTTCCAGACAAAGTGGTGATGGACCATGATCGTAGATGTTGACGAAAAATGACAATGATTTATAGAGATTATTCTTAATCATGAGTATTTGATATCTGGAGAAAACATTTTTTATATGCAGACGGTGTCTGATCAAGAATAACATTTGTGAAGCTTAGCTAGGAAAAACTGAATGCGTCTGGATACCATAGAAACTCTGGGACTTCTAATATATCTTTTGCATCGATTCTTTTAGAGAAATCTTCTATTTCTAGGAATAGGGAGCTGCGGGTCCAAACTCGAGATTTTTTCCATCAATACCAGGCACCTTTCGTGTACATGAACAAGTAAAGAACCAAGGTTTCAGCTATTTATTCGCTACTCTCAGAAAAAAAAATCAACGTACAGTTAAATCTTGTTGCTGTATTTTTCATCTGGGGAGCAGCGGGTCCACAAAAACATGTAACGGGGCTCAACAAAAAATAAAACTTTGGACCCAATTAGGTCCGAGTCTGGAAGGACTCGCGATTTCCTATCATCTGGAAGTGGTCTATTTTTTAAATGAATACTAGAAAAACTATTTTCACGATATTCATCACTCATTTGGAAGACTTTTCTCATGAGAAAATAAGCTACAGATCTTGTTCTGTATCTTGATGTTGTTGTAGTTGTTGTTGTTTTTTTTTTTATGAATAATAACTTTGAATATTTTTCTGTCGTTAATAAATAAATAAATTAGTTTATTTGATTTACATATTCAAATTATTATTATTTTTTTTATCATATTATTATTAATGATCTATTCTATCCTATGGAAATTTTTCTATATTTAATAAATTCAAATGTATGAAAAGAATAAAAAAATGTGACATTGGCTTTTGTTAACAATAAATAAAGAATTTATTATCTAGGTCAAGTAATTGTGATAAGTAGATTATTTTATGTTTACATTGAAGTCAAAGTCTGAAAATATTTTCCATTACAAATTTGTTATTTATACTTGTAAAAAAAAACAGATATTTCAATATATCATCTTGTTTTTTTCATTGTATCTATTCTTAGCAAAACAAACCATTTTTTTTGTTTTGTTCGTTATATCATAATACTCTGTTTTAGATAATATATAAGAGTCAGATCAAAAGAAGAAAAAAAACAACAACAAAACACATTTACTAATAAAAATGGTATATATTTCGGATAAAATAAAATCATCAGATACATCAATCTCATATGTACCAACACCATTAGATTTACCAATCTCTAGTACTAATACAACATCTGAAAATCAATCAAATATAATTAATAACCAAGAAGAAGATGAAGAAGAAAATTTTATTAAAAATAATTATATTGCACGAACATTATTAAATGAACCTGAATTACCACCTATAACATGGTTAAATTGGTATAAAGAAGTTAATTGGCCTCAAGCAACCTTATTATGTCTTGAACCATTAGTTGCTTTATATGGTCTTTTTACAACATCATTTATGTGGCAAACAATTATATTTACAATAATATGGTATTTTCTTACTGGTTTTGGTATAACAGCTGGTTATCATCGTTTATTTTCTCATCGTTCATATGAAGCTAAATTACCATTACGATATTTTTTACTTATATTAGGTGCTGGTTCTGTTCAAGGTTCTGCTCAATGGTGGTCACGTGGTCATCGTGCACATCATCGTTATACAGATACAGATCTTGATCCATATAGTGCACATAAAGGTATATTTTATTCACATATTGGTTGGTTATTATTTAAACCACGTCGTAAACCTGGTTTAGTTGATATAAGTGATCTTACAAATGATAAATGTATACAATGGCAACATCGTAATTATATTAGTTTAGCTTTTTTTATGGCATTTGTTTTTCCAACATTAGTTTGTGGTCTTGGATGGAATGATTATCGTGGTGGTTATTTTTTTGCTGGTGTACTTCGTCTTGTTTTTGTACATCATTCAACATTTTGTGTTAATTCATTAGCACATTATTTAGGTGATGCACCATATGATGATAGACGTACACCACGTGATCATTTTTTTACAGCACTTGTTACACTTGGTGAAGGTTATCATAATTTTCATCATGAATTTCCATCTGATTATCGTAATGCACTTAAATGGTTTCAATATGATCCAACAAAATATTTAATAGAATTTTTTAAATTAATTAAACTTGCAAATAATCTTAAAGAATTTCCTAAAAATGAAATACGTAAAGGTCGTTATACAATGGCACATAAAGAATTAAATCGTTTTGGACAAACAATTATATGGCCAAAAGATAATTTAAATTTACCAATTATAACATTTGAAGAATATCAAGAATTAACAAAAAAAAATGATAATCGTTTACTTATTTTAATTGCTGGTTTTATTCATGATGTTAGTCATTTTATTGATTCACATCCAGGTGGTCGAACTATAATTAAAAGTTATATTGGTAAAGATGCTACTGTTGCATTTTATGGTGGTATACATGATCATAATACAGCAGCACATAATATACTTGCTATGATGCGAGTTGCTATTTGTAAATATGGTGGTGAAGTAGAATATATTAAGAAAAGATTAGGACATATTCAAACTCCGACTCCTATTTTTGCCTAAGTTCTTTTTCTTTTTACTGTTAAATCATAAAGCATTTTATGTATGTTTATGATAAAAATCTTGATCAAAAAATAAATAAATAAAAAGAGAATGAGTATCACAAATTTATTCTTTTCAAAATAAATATATATTAAATATCATCGAAAAAAAAAAGTTTAAATTCGTGTATAAGCTGTACGCTTGATGATAACATTATTATCATTTTAATTATTATGATTTTGAATATCAACATAAACGAATAGAGTTGAATGTGTTTCATCATTATTATTAGCTCTTAAAGTAATATGACGATAGCCTAGATAAAAAAACAAAAACAAAATAAATAAATTATGAAAAATAAGATGATAAACTTTATACGAGATTTTAATATTCGAAGAAAAAATAAAACATGATACACATGAATAATTACATTGCTTGCAAGATTATGCTATTTCTTCTTGGAGTGAAACATATGTGTAATTCTCTCATAAATTAAATTTTAGATAAATTTACGAGTATACAATAGAACTCGTCGGGCACGAGATCGACTCAACGAATCATATTTCAAAAGTAGAGAATGAGTGATCTGCTCAGGATCATTTTATGACTGATGCTACCAAGATTTGTACAAAATATCTTGTGGATATGTCGAACTACGTAGTCAATCATGGAGTGTTTTATGAAGATTTTATCTTCCGGAGGAACGATTTAAAACTTCGGGAGAGCGAACATCTATTTTTGAGAACACAGACATATGGTACATGGTAACTTCCGATCTTCGGAGAAGTACCGTTCGTTCGACCTTTACTCTGCAATCTTGATGGTTCTCTAAAAATAACAGCCAATTATGATATGTTCATATAGTCAAGACTGTTTGAGAAATGTGAGGAGTTGATTAGTAGCAGAATTCAATGCGAATATCAGAATTGTTTTTGAAACAGAAGGAGCGCTTCGGTTAAAAAATACAAGATCCGATGGGTACTAATATGTAATCAATTTTGGAAAAGAAAACTGTTTTTTTTTGTATTAGCTAGGCGAAAATTGAAAACTCGTTTGCTATATCTTACCTGCTTGTATCATTGTCACTGGTGCACTAAAATAAGCAAGTCTATCATCTGCTGACATAGAATCATAATCAAGAACAGAGAAGAATATGAGACACATTTGAGGAAATTTTATAGGAAATTCAAATGTTTCATTCCATACTGGATCAAAACCATTATTTTGAACAACTTGTGTTTTTACAACCTTTTGATCACAAAGTAAACCATGTGTTGATATTCTTACATATGGATCAGGTATATCTTTTGATTTTGCACTTGATCGTGGTAAAAATTGTCCACTTATTATTGTTATTGTTAATGTTTGAGGATAATCAAAATTAATTTGAGTGTTCAATGGATTAAATCTTGTTTCTTCTACATTAATTAAATATTCTGGTTTAAGTATATAACCACAACAACCATTATCACGAAATTTTCCATAATATAATGCCATCCTATCATCATCAGTTTGATAATTTAAAGCAGCCATTTGTACACCAAAATTCCATGCACTTATAGGATCTAGATTACTTGAATCTTGTCTTAAACCATCAGGATATACACGAAGAAGACGCCATGTTGTTTGTAAAATTAAATCAAGTGGTTCGTTTTCAGCATGTTTCAAGAAAGTTTTTTCAGCCAATGATGATGAATGATATGGTGAATCTTTTGTTGTTTTTTTTTTGAAATATAAATTTCGAGTTTTTTTTTAACGAATAAAATAATTAGATAACTTACAATTCGCTTTGGCAAATCCATAGTCACGATAAGGAACATTTTCGAAATAGAGAAACAATTCAGCTAATTCTGGTTCAACATTCTATAATATCAGATAGAGTATTGATTATTGTTTTTTTTATTACGCAAAACACGCACATACTATGAAACGGGCCGCCCGGTCCGACGATTTTATTCTTTTTTGACATAACTTTTTCGGAGATTTGGGAGAATAGGAAGAAGCTTCTCTACGCTACTCCCTCCTTGGTTATCACTTTTTATAAAAGCCGAAAAATATGAAATAGCTGTCTATTGAGAAAAAAATCTTTGTAAACGAAGTTTCTTTCGGGTCCGGCCATATATCGAAAATGGTCGTTTATCTTGAAATTTTTCTCGATTTGTTTCAAAGTCTTTGTTTTTATCGTTTGGACAACATAAGGGATGAGAGAGTCCGTCAGATTGACCTCAAATCTGCATCCGACAGGTTCTAGTCGTCAGAGAAATGTGTAAGATGTGCCAATCGTCAAATACTGAAAAAATCGGAAAAAAACTATCTCGTATCGTTAAACCGACTATACAATTCCGATTAATTATCAGAATTCATAGACGAGTTAATATTAATATTATCCAAAAACAATCACTATAATTCATGTATGAATGCCTCTAAAAGCTTCTGAAATAGCATCTTCGACATAAAATTTGAAACTGAATATGAATCTGAAGTCAGATTTCTCCTACAAACACAAGCAGTCAAGTTAGAAGTTAAATTTTTATTCGAGAAACATTCGAAATTGCTACCCTCATAAACACACCTGAATAAAGGTCATGTTTTCTTGTATAGTTCAACACAATGTAGTTCCAAGCAATGGCAAAATAATCTTTAGTAAGTATTACTAACTCAAGATCTTTCTTACAAGATGTTTGACTAGGAATTTCAATCACTCATTATTTGATTTGAAGATTTGTATATAAAAATTAATATGTAAATAATGACATACTTTTCTTAATGGATTCCATGTAGAATTTTCATTATCTTCATCTTCTTCAAATTTTTCATCTGATTTTCGTGGTACACTCTAATATAAAACACAAATAGAAAATTAAATATTCTTATATATTAAATAATAATATACTTACACGAACGAGAACTTTAAATTTTAAATCTTCTGGTGATGGTGCAATTAATGGATCTCTATTTGGTAAATGTTTTGTAACCAATTGATCTATATATATATATATGTATATATATTGAAATGAAAATTATATATATGAGAATTATTCACTTACCACCAAGATAAGTTTTTAAAATGTGAGCCATTTGTTTTTGTTGTGGAAGTGAACAATGATTTTCAATATTAAAAATAACTGGATAACTATTAAATAAATAAATAAATAACTTAATGTGCAAAAGTTATTCGACTTTCGACAGTTTAAATCCAACTATTGAAAATCAATAGTGACTAGTTAGAATACAAAATTTTATTTTTTGGATATTTTCGTCTTTTCACTTAAATCTGACTTCTTCTATCTAATGCTATATGTACTATCAAGTTCTATTGCATACCGTTTAGATTATGGATGTGCAATGTCAGTCACTGAAGCACTGACTCGGTACCATCGCTGGTCAGTAAACTGAAAGTGCACATCTCAAATTGCGATTTTAATAGAGAACACCACCTTCGCTACATTCTACCGTTAGTCCGGCAAATATGGCGTTCTCTATTGATATCTTAATGGTATGTAAAAGAACTATTCTAACGAACTACTCTTGATTCTCACTCGTTATATTTTAGTTTTCAAAATAAAAAATGAACAAAAATTTTGTGCTATGATTGTCTTTTTTTAGTGTCAAGTATTTGAATTAGAGTTCTGTAGAACAAACTTTTTCGTGTTCCGAATTTTTTTGTTTTTTGAATTGTCCCTTTGACTGAAAAACAGCTGGTTGCACAAAATGCAATAGCTGATTTATTGTTTCTTTAAACCTAACCATCATTTGCGAAATGAGAAAAAGAATGTGACGAGTATACATTTGAAATCCGGTTTTTTTTTTCTAATTGTTTTGAGTATACATTTCGAAAGAAGATAAAATTATATTTTGAACTAATTATACTGTTGATTCTCAATAGTTGTGTTATGTACAAAGTAAATTAAATAAAAATATAAATATTTTAAATAATTACGGTGAAGCTTTAAAAAGATTTGGTTGTAAACGACGAATAATTGATTCAAATGAACATGGTTTTACAAGTGTAAAAGCATGTTTAACTATTGGTTTACCATCAGGACCATCGTAACAATCAAATTCAACAGCTCTACAACCCATTAATAATACTCGATTATAAGCTTCTGGATTACTTTCACCCGATACTTGACTATAAAATAAATAACTATAATGTAAAAACAAAAAAAAACAAAATTTCATTCAATAAATAAAAAAGACAAAAAAATGAATCGTTTTTGATTCATACGTATTATGAGAAGTATTAATATAATAATCACATATTGGTCTAAAATAATAAAATAAAAAATTTTAATATTATAATAAAAATATGTATATTTCTATTTATACCTTGTCATATCTTGATATATTTGACGAGAATATGCTGATTCTGTAATATCAAAATTTCTTGATAATAACATATTTCGAAAACCTTAATAGAAAATTTAATTTTTTGTTTTCTTAATGATTATTCATGCAAAACAAAAAAAAATAGAAACATACCATCAAGACCTAAAACACCTTTTTCTCGAAATTCAGCATTTAATTCAAATTCATCAAGTAATTTCTGTACTTCATCTAAATTATTAATATGTTTTGTCTATTAAAAAGATAAATTAATAATCGTTGAAAAATAAAAAATAATAAATTTAAATTTAAATTTACATTTTCATTTTTTGTTAGTCGAAGAAAATGTAATAATTCATTTTTATCCATAGAAATACTTTCCATTGGTTGCTGATATCCATATTTAACATTTCTATTAAGAAAAGAAATGAAATTCAATAATTTAAATAATATTAATTATTAAAAAAAAATTACTGTTTCATTATTTCATAAAGATCTTTACGACGTGTTAGCATTTTAAAAAAAATCAAAAATTCGTCAGGATTCAAAGCATTATTACGAGTTTTTTTTATTTTCTAGAAGTAAAAATAGTATAATTTAAAAACATAATAAAAGATAAATTTTACATTAAACATTTGTTCAAACATATTATCAGACATTTCAACATTTAAACATCTCACAAGTAAATCACGACATTCTTTTTTTGATAATGTATTTGATTTATTTTTATCAGCAGCATGAAAAAATTCCAAAATCCAACTATAATAAAGAAAAAATTATAATAAAAATTTTCTTGTTTTTTTTTTTTACTTGTCTTCTCCAATTAGATGATATTGACGTTTTTGTGAACGTTGACTAATCAAATGCTGTAAGCCGGTTACCCATGCATCCCGTGTTTTTATATCAGGTGCCATACAATGTACTCCTTTTCGATGATTATCATATATAATTGAAAAAGCACGATCTTGCTAAATAAATTAAACTTATTTTTAAAAAAAAGAAACCTAATCAAATATTGAATTTTATACATCATCTGATTTGAGTTTATGATTTTTAATAAGTTGATCAAATGTTTGTGCTTCAAATCCTGTTCTAACTTCATCAATATCATGAAGATTATCTAAAATAAAATAAATTAAAATTTTATATCATTAAATCTATCAATTTTTCAACTTACATGTTCGTGGTTTACCATGAAATTTATATGATCTATCATAAGTTATATAACCTTCACGTTCGTGTAGAAAAAATTGACGAGAATACTTTTTTCCACTGGGTTTATGTTTTACTAAAACTGCACCTGATTTAAGTTGATGTATTAATTCAGCTATAGTATCATTGCTGTCAGCCATTTATCCAGTTAATTTCGTTATTTATCAAAAAGAGAAGAAAAAAGAAAGATAATAAAATAAAAGTAACATAAAAAGGGTTACCGTCAATATACAACTATTAACCTATTCAGTTTCATCAATATTACCGTTTCGGGGTTATACTATTATCACCTACTAATATGTAACATTTTTGAAACATTCTCCATAGGGCAAGGTTGGTCTTATTTTCCTTTTTTATGCTTATTCAAGGATAATTTTTCATAATATAAATAGGTGCGAACAGAGGTTGAGTTGACAACAAATGAAGAAAAATAAATCACTTCTATTTTATTTCTGCATTTCTTTTTCATAAATAAATGGCGCATATATTATTGTTTTTCTTTTCAAAATTGAAATTCTTTCTCTTATATTGATCGAAATTCCATTAACTACTAGAGTATTTTTACCGAATTAAAAAGCAAAACATTTTCTTTCTTTTTATTTTTTTTCTCAGCCATTTCAACTACTCTTTTTTACTAACGATATATAACGCAGTATGATTTATAAATGGACTAGACTATTTATTAACAAAATGTGGGACCTTTACAAAACGATTCTATATTATTCTTATTACATTCAAGAAATATTCCAAAAAAAAATTTTTATTTTTTTCGCAAATATATTACTTTCATATATTAAACTTGCTATTGGTTTTATAGTATCTACTCAAGTAGAAAAAAAAACAAAAATTTTCTTATTTGAGACGTAGAATAATTTTAAACGAAAAAATCTATACGTAATTGACGAAACGACAAAAAAAGAAATGATTACACGTAGATGATTCAGTCAAGTAAATAGAAACATGGCAACTCGCTGCTTGCCAAAGGTATAATTATTAAAAGTTGATATTGCGCTTTTGAAAAAAAAAAAAGTTGTTTTTCTTTTTCAGAAGGTCTTTCAACATTTTGAATTAAAAAGTAAAAAAAAAAATCAACTCTCTCTCTTTTTGTATATAGGTCATTTCAGACCAAACATAGCATTATTCACCTACCACTTAACCTTGATTCTTTACAAGAATTATTTTTCTGAAAAAGATTTTTTTAGCATTGACATATATTAAAATGTTGGCTCTTTCAATTCACTATTAATGAGATCTTCTTTTCGAGAATGACTCGACGAAAAATAATGAAACTCTCAATGCAGATTGTGATCAATAAGTTGAATAAAAGTTGTAATATCTTGGAAGAATAACTTTTTTAATTTTCATTTCCGTGACAAAAAAAAAAACTTTGTTCCCGTTTTCGAAAAAATATTTTTATTTCCGTTCATATTCCCGCAATGCTTTCAGAATTCCTATTATTATTTCATTTTTTCGTATTTGAGAAAAAACTTTCATTACGAAGGATACTAAGCTTCTGTCAATATTGCATATAAGAAGACCTTCAATTAAAAATAAATTTATTATTCGAGGTATATTTTAGTAAAATAAGTTATGATTTATATGGCAAAATTTATTGACATTAAGTTAACGAGAAATATTTTCTTCATCAATTAAACAATTGAAAGAATGTCAAAATCTATTTCTCAATAATGTATCATCGTGTTGACTTTGATATTTCTTTTGAAAGAGCAAAATTCGGAGTATATATATATAAGACAAAAAGATTTTCTATTTTTAATAGCGTTCCTCTTCCCAATTCTCGCCGGGAATGGAATGGGAAAAAATCGTTCCAGCACAACATTAAAAGGTTGTCATAAACTCAGAATTCTCATATGCATCCTTCAGAAAGACATGCGGGTCATAAATCCCTCCCGTAAAACTCTATCATTCATTTTTTCGAGCTGTAATATTTTTTATGACAACTAAGATCAAATTAGAGTACATCTTGTTTTTTTTTTTCTTTCAAACATATCGTTCCTACAGCTAAGAAGAAGCATTATAAAGAAACGTGTTTGTTTTCAATGGTATTAATTTTTTTAAAAGGCTGCCGAATTTCGTAAGAATAATATTTTAAGAAAAAAAAAAAAACACATACCCCAATTTGACCAAACTACTCATTGAAACCGATCAAACGTACTGTGTGAAAAAAAAGGAGGAAAACTTCGTGTTTTTACTCATTTTGAATTATTACAGATTATTTTTTCTTGCACATCAAAAGAACTATTTCTAAGAAATATTCATAGGATTAAATATGAGTGTGAGTGTTGAACGTAGCTGCGCACTGAATGCTAATACTCATATTCTTAGACTCATTCGATACACAATTTCCTGTTCTGCTATACTACTGTCTTCTTTTTTATTGGCAGCACAAAATTTAGAAGATAAACACTCATTCAATCGTTTAACTGTGACGCTCAAAAAAAAAACGAGAATTATTTCATAAAGGTTTCGTTGAAATTCCAAATATGTATTTCAAGATTTTAGAAGAAATATATGAGAGAAAAATTTTTGAAGTAAAAAGTATGAAAAAAATCTTTTTCTGGTAGAATTACATTATTGTCATTTTTTAATTCGACATAATCTAATGATTCTAATCCGCAATTTAACAATCATATCATGTTTCTTTTTTTTTTTTTAGGAATTAAATTCTGCACTCAGCGTCATGAGAACAAACTTGTCTTGTTTTGGAAAACATGGTTTCCTAGAATACATCTCAAAATATCATTGAACGTTGATTTAAAGCGTTTTCATTCTGAATAATAATAGCAGAAACTCTGACAAGGTCGTGAAAATTGAAAGTACGAAATTTTCTATCCAATAATGCCAAATATTTTATTTTTAGAATGGGTCATCATGAGCAAAGGCTTACACAAATCGATAGATGTCTGCAGAAAATCGGAAATTGCAATTAGATGATTGAATAGATGGTCATCTTTTAAATTCTGCATCAACAAAAAAAAGAACCAGAGGCAGTTGTGTTTTGTCCAGCATAAAATTGACTATTGAATAAGCATAAAACAAAGTTCTTAATACAGCAGTGAATAATTAGGATCAATCGATGGGAAAATTGTTTCCGTTTAAGCAGAAATAATTCATCTCATAAAAAAAATCATATATATTAAGAAGAAATGGAAGAAAAAATAAGAATATAAACATGTATCTATCACGATTCATTTAGCATAAAGAAATACTTCAACAAGAAGGAATAGAACAAAAGAATATAAGCATATATCAACCAATCACTATTCCATGCATTACTCTTCATTTTTGACTTCTGTTTATCAGAATAGATATAGATAAAGAATTGCCGCTAGAGAAAATCAATTTCCATTTGAACTTCTCGTTAGAATGAAAAAGAAATATGATCAATATCTCTTTAAATCTTTTTGACTTCTCTTCATTGGAATAAATAAGGTGTAATAGTTTATTTTAATTTGTTTGTCATGAAAGTTTATATAGTAGTGATAGGCATTTCATTGAATAAGATTGATTAATATAAATAGAATAAGTTTGCTTTGCATACTTTTTATATCAAATGAGTAGTAAAATGATGAACTGGCAAACTTTATAAAAATTGTCGCCTGACTACATCTAAATCCACCATTACGATGATTGTAAATACACAAAAACGATGAAATTACGATTGCATATGAGCCGGAAATGAATTTTTCGATAAGATCAGTATCATGGTTGTTTGCTGTCATATCACGTACGACGACATTCACGCGTCTTTGATAGAAGATATCTGTGCCATAAAACAGTGACTTTTTCAATGGGCATAATAGCATAAACTAACATTTACGATTGTATCTCCGTGTGAACACTCACACATGGTCATAATGAACTCTAATGACATCTATAAGTAAAGCCTGTTTTCTTTATCCTAACATCTATATCCAAGTGGCTAATTCCTAATACACATACTAATAATATTATATCCTTATAGTTATAGCCTATTATCGTTTTCGTAAATGCTTTAGTACGTTTGCTAGACGAAGTATCGAATAATTAAAGGAGAGCACACCGTTTGCAGCAAATCTTGTTGTACGAATAAATACGATGACAAAAAAAAAATGTCGATCGTTTAATCAAATATTTATCATTGGTGTAAAGCCATCGACCCATTAGAAGACCCCCCTATATTAGAAGACCCCCCCATAATAGAAGACCCCCCTTGAATAAATGACGCAAAAGACATATTAGAAGACCCCCCCTTAAAAAATCGACATTTTGAAATAGTTTCTGGAGTTTATTGACTTGTTTAGTATTTAAGCCCAGAATGATATCGAAATTTGGTACGAACAATATTTTGCTTCCTCCCTCATAACGAAGTATCAGACTCGAATGAGTAAAATCTAGAGAAGCAGTTAATAGGAAACAACTATCTATTGAAGATTGCGTTTCTTTGTAAAAACATATCATGGAGTCATTTTAGCACTTCTTTGCAGCTTACTTTGAAAACATTCTTCAGGCTCTATACACGAAAAACACGCTTTCATAGTCATAGGATCTAATGAACGTAGTGCCCATTCGTGCATGTAACACATGAAGGGATCTTTGTAGACTAATAACAGATTAGGTAAAATGCCACTTTGTATTAATTAAAAGGTCTCTTTATCTTTGACTTTCTTCTAGAAAATCAGAAACGTTTTCACAACAAAACAGTGTTTCATAATTGAAGAAAACATAACTTCATGTAAAGTCTACGCAAAAAATTCTGGAACACTCAAGAATGACTCTGCAAAATTTTATCTTTCATTTGAAACAAACTTTATATATATTTTAAGTGTAGTTACTGGTTAAAGTTTCATATAATATTAAAACTAGAAGTTTTGCATCTGCACAGTAAAGTACGAAAGTTTAACCAGTAACTATACTTAAAAAATATATATAAAGTTTATTTCAAATGAAAGATGAAATTTCGGGGAGCCATTCTTGAGTGTCCCAGAGTTTTTTGCGTAGACTGTATATACGTCAAGATTTGATATGTGAGTACTTCTTTTGAGTTTGAGAACGCATTTCTTTTTTCAATAAGATCCAATGGCATTTTTTGAAACTGACGCAAAAGAAAACACACTGTCTGTATTCAACTGCTGATTTTTTATAGATGGTTTCTTCACAAGACAATCGTATTCATTGAAGTTAGCTTGAGATTAATAACTCTGCTAGTAGCAGAATTCACTGTGAATAGATTCCATATATACTAATCAAATTTCCACATAAGCAACTGAATAAAATTAGTTTGATAAAAAAAATTAATTTTCTTTTTTACATTTATTTAGTTATTGAGAAAGCAAACTGTTGCCAATGATAGGTCTTAGCCTAGAGAAAAAAGAATGGTATGGGATATCGTACCAAGATGCTAGGCTACGTTGGCTGTATTGTTCTAAGAACACTTCTTACCAACGATGGTCTCCTCTTTTTCACAGGATGATATCTGTTTCTTTCTTATTCTACATATGTGAAATAAGTGAAGCAAACTCATTTACTAACGATATATTGGACAAAAATCAAGTGAAACTAAGATTTGTTGACGGAATTACCAAAAAATATGACTTTTTTTAGGGACATAATAGAAGACCCCCCTTTTAACTTATGAATGATAAGACAGAATAGAAGACCCCGGGTCTTCTAATGTGTCGATGGCTTTATACAATGTCTTCCGAGACAGTTCGAATGTCATTTACAATCGTCATATTATTATTATAGTCGTTAACGGAGATTTTTCACCGACATTGTGATGCTTCGTTTATGATTTTCTTTTAAATGGTCATTCCGAATGATTGTTGTTTTTCGTTGTATTCATAAAATAAATAAAACTCATAATATATTCTAATGCAACTACTTTTACAAGCTAGATTATTATTGAAAGAGTATTAATTTCAAATATGTTTCATTCAACTTCATGAAAATAATTATGATCACTACAAAGAAAAAAAAGAAATTCAACAATCGATATTCAATAAATTTCGACATAAGCTCTGTCCAGTTTTTTTTTTGACTATTAATAACATTTTTATTCTTAGAAAAAATAAAAATAGAATCAATTCGATGTGTATCTGTGATTAACATCATATAGATATCAATAGTATCTTGAAACTTAACAGATCAAACATGATACAATAATTTATCTTTAGTTTTCTCTTGTTCTTGATCAGAAAAAAAAAACATGTTAATTATTAGCAATACATAAACAGTATAAAAATATCTCGCTTTGGATTCAATAATTTCAGATGTAAAATCTTTGACAAAAAAAAACAATAAAGAGTCTTCTACATGATAATTTCTCTCATTATCATATTTTTATTATAGTACAATCTATAATTTAAAACTTATATTGACTTTCATCACTATCATATTCACATTGATTCGTGTTGTGTTTTTTACACTGAACTGATTCAAAAGTTATAATAAGCTAATAAGTATATATCTGCGTCTATGTTGAGTCTTAGATAAAGGCCTAGTGATTTAAACTCTTTCAATGTTCTTCATGCGAACAATAGTGTGTTCATAGATAAAGTATACTTAACTGTATTACACATAAGACAAGTAATAATAAAAAAGTGGGCAGAAAAACACTGCATGTATGTTCATATTAGGGAAGTCATAAATAATTAACAAGAAGGAGCACAAAAAAAAGTGTTGACTGTTTCCAACAAAAGCCACTTCGTCGGATCCGAGATTGTTCATAATTAGGAGGTGTGCACTAGTAGAAGTTCTACTATATTAGTTTTAGATGAGATTACTTCACGTTTGTTTTTTTTTTGAATTGAATCTAATCTGAAGAGAAAACAGCAAAGACTTTATCCTTGTAGTCTGCTGTTTTCCTCTCGACCTAATTGATTTAGCATAATTTTCATAAAAATTCAAATCTAACCGATCTAGTTTTTTGTAAAAGTTCAAAGCAAATCGATTCACAATTCAAAATGAAGTTCTATTTTCAATTATATTGATAAATATAAACAATACTTATGTATAAGAATTTCATAAATGTTTTTCATTGTTTTGTTTTCTTTCTTATATGTATTAACTCTTACACAATATGCATATCAAAAGAAAAAGGAAAAAGATGATTAAACACATCGACTAGGTATATGAAAATAAGTTTGTGGTAAAGGTGTACAATGTTGAGAATCAAAATCAACTAAATATTGATCAATTAAATAAATTGCAAAACGTTGTCGTTCAAGTAATGAAAAATTTTCACCTAAAACAAAAAATTATTCTAGAAAATTTGTTATTTATTTTTTGATAGAAAAATTCTTACCAAATTTACTTGGATATGATGCAATTGAATTTTCTAAACGATATTCATTTGTTCGTATTTGTAATTCACGTTGATTTGAACAATATTGTTCTAATAAAGCAATTTTTTGTATATTATCTGAACAAATATATCGTCTTAAAAGTGTTAATGTTTGATCATCATTATAAATTAATGGATATCGATATTGAAGAATATGAAATAAAAGTTCATTACCACGATTTGTTTCTAAACGGCCAGGTATAAGACTAATTATTTCATCTTGTGTACGACGTATAAGATAAAATGGTCCATTATATAATTTAAGTAATTGAATATTATTTAAATCAAGATAATAACGTATAGTTTTTTCAACAAATTTTGATACATATATTGGCATTTGACGTTGTGCTAATGGTAAAACATCATCAAATACAGCATCTAATACAAGACCACGAATATCTTGATAATTAACAGCTGTCCAACATGCCGAATAACCACCTATGGACCATGCAAATATAACAATATCATCAACAAGAAAATGAAGTTCTTCTATTGCATAACGCATTACAGCATCGATTGAATTTATTTCTGAAAGTGTACCAGGATAACCCTAATACAAAAAAAGAAAAACAATAATCGATAAACATTTTGATTTTCTTGTCAATTGATTTATATTATAATTCGAATAATATTACTAATGTTTGAACAGTTATTTCTAGCCAAAAAAAATTCTTTAAGAAATGATTAATAAAAGAAAATTCTCGGATATTCTATGGTGTTTTGAGATAGACGTAATTCAACAACATTCAATTATTCCAGTTTTCCGTACTGTCAGAGAAGCCATGTCATCGTCATCTGTAAACCTCACTTGTTCGTAGTTGGATGATAATGATCAGTATGATAGGTCAATGAATATCAGTGTTTGTTATCATGCTGGAGTCTTATAAAACCAAGATGGGCGATACATCCTAAAGAACCGCTATGATTTTTGTAGTAATAATCATGAATTTTCTGAAAATTCATATAATCTAAAGCTAATGATCAGCATTTGTAATTCATATGATTGGTAGTGATCATCAGTTCTGATTTAAGGAGGCATCCTTAGAAAATCAAATCTTTCAAGGAAATATCGAAGTTGAGTTTTTATCATAGGAAGATGCAGCGACTCTAGTCGAGACTCCCTAGGAAATTGATAAGTATTAGCAGGGTCTCTCCAGGAAGTCACTATTGAAATTCTCTGAAAAATTCAAATTTATGAAAATTTTAGAGAGACTCTCCGGTAATTTCGTTGGGGGAGAGTCGACTAGGAGAAGCTTTCTCTTTCAGAATATATATAACTCTTTGGAAAACGACTAAATTTTCAAAGACTTATCACATGAAATTTTGACTCTACTACCATATTTTCGTGATTTTTAAAGTTTTTTTAGTTTTGGAAAAACTGCATTGCCGCTAGCATTATCATTGAATAGAATATTTTTATATTTTTCAACATGTCAGATGGCGCTAGTTACCTTTATCTATTACGTAATTTAAAAATAGTCCATTGAAATATATTAAAAATATACTGTTATAATATAATTTGTTCTGGCTTTGAATGAGAATATACATTTCTAAAATTTCTTCAGCATTTTTCTGAAAACACAGTTTCTCGACAGGAAAATTAAACTAATTCCCACTCAGCCCGAGATATCACCGATTTTGTGTTGTTTTAAAGATCTTAATCAGAGCTCATCCGACAGAATTTTGATACTGGATTTCTAGACTGAGAAAAGAAAGATTTACTGTCGATCGAATCACCTTTTTTTATGCTTATTTTGAACACCATGTTGATTAAAATACTCATTAAAAAATGAATGGAAACGAGTTTCAAAATTCTGTTCGATGAAAAGTTGCGCACAGAGACTAGCTTTAATTTGAAATCAGCTCGAGCTCTGTATCCTTTATAACGACGGAGTTATTTTGATTCTTCTGGAAGGTAGGAAATACACTTGGAAGTTCTGTAGATAGGCAGTCTTTATGATAATAGCTAATGAAACTATCTTATTTTATCAGAAATATGAACTTCTATTATTCTGTCAATCTACCGATAAAAGTCCAAGCTCGTTTGAACTAAAAAAAAATTAAAGTCTACAGTAAATTGTTCCATCAATTTAAAATTAATAATGTAAAGCATTTAAACCTTTTTCTTTTTTTTTTTCTTCTATCATCTGCTTATGTATAAATTTTGATTTGGTATTCTTATGACTTCTCATGTGTGTCGGAGACTTATGAAACGCATTAAAATCTTTGAAATTTTAATAAATTCTCGATTTATCACCATAGACTTGTTTTTCTATTAAATCATTAATAATATAAAATAAGATTATTATAAATATATTTTTTTTCAAAGATATATAACACCTTGAAATTGATAAATTAGATATCCTACCGAACTTTCACCAAATCCTGGTCGATTCCAGCCAAGTACTGAATATCCAGCATCAATTGGTGTTGACATACAACCCATCTCATAAAATCCAGCATTACCTTCACATGTAATAACTAATATTTGACCATTATATGTTTGATTTGATTCACGTCGATCAACAAATATTGTATCAATATTATTACCATCAGCTGTATGTAATAAATAACGTTTTGCATTATATCGAACAATTAAATTTGTACGTCCATCAAGTAAAGGACGTTCCATCATATGTCGAAGTAATTGTAAACTACCAGGAAACATTAAACGTCGACCAAATACATTAACACAAATATAACCAAGAAAAAGTGATGGATAATGAAAAAGACGTTCCAATAATGTTGTTTCAGTACGATTAATTAAATCAGTTTTTGTTGTTGATATCATTGGTAATTTACGAACAACTGATGATTCTATAATATAATCAGGTTGCCAATGTGAAAGAGAAAAATCAAATTTTGATAAAAGATTCTAAAGTTAAAATAACAAAAAAAAGAAAAAATATATATTTCAAAAAATTTCCTTTTTTTTTTTTTTATAAATATTTTATTTTCACAATTACTTGTCGAGTTTCTTTTGTTAAATTACTTTTTACTTTATAAAATTCTTCGATAAATATTTTATAACTTGGATTAACAAAACGACCAATACCTAATTAAATATAAATTTCATGTTATTAAAAGAAAAATAAAAAAAAAACATTTTAACGTACCACGTAATAACATAAAATAAGCTGCTATTATTGTAATACAACCAACAATACGTAATGTCATTATACCATTTTCATATGATAATAAACCTTTACGATAACAATAAATTAAACATAATGGCCAAGTTACTTTAAGTATTCCAATTGATAATTTAAGCTAAATAAATTGATTTGAAAAGAATTATATTCAAAAAAAAAAAGCCAAAGATTAAAATCTTACAGCAAAGAAAACATTATCACTTAGAGTTTCTGCAGCATTTTTCGTATAAAGATGTGCAGGCTAGACAAGAAAAATAAATATAGATTTTTATCAAAATTAAATTCTAGTATACTTGTTGATCGCTTCGACTAACTAATGGAATGGCAGATGGATAAGTTTGATAGAGTTTTGGGCCCAATATACATCGCCACAAAAAAATTAGTTGATTTTTCATGAGTAATAATCTGAATAAGTCGTAGGAACAAATAGAAATTAAATGACTATTTTTTTTCCTATGTTGACATTTGATATAACAAGTAGAACAATCGAAAAAGAACATCAAAGATGTCGCTAGGAATCCGAATATATAAATGAGTTCTTTTGTTTCTACTGAGTTTAAAGAATTTTTTGCACAAAAAAGAGAACATTTCCAGATGATCTGCTTCTTTCGCTTCCATAGTTTGTTCATATGTGTGAGATCACTAGAGTAATCTTCATCAAATCTAAACATGAACAGGAATTCTTCGGAGGTTACATTACTCTAGTGATCTCCTACATTGAAGCAAAATATGACAATAAAGGGAGTAGATTATCAGGCAATGTCCCTTTGTTAGAAATGAAATTTCAAGCGTAAGCGTGTCTCACTATGTAGAAAACGAAAAAACTTCATAGATTTTGAAACAAGCAATAAGAACACAAATCCTTAGGTTTTTTATTACCATTATAGATCCTGCATGTAGACAAAATATGAAGACGAATGGAGCGAACCACTGAGGAATATTTCTTCATAAGATAGAACGTATACTTCTGAAATATAGAGACTCATCGAAGTATAAGAAAAGAAACGGTATTTTTGTTGATCTTTCGGTTTATTTCTATGGCTTGTTAGATGAATGTTTATATCAGTGAATCTAGAAACAGCGTCCATGAACTAAAGAAAATCAATGCACTATTTTTGAATATGCTATTTTTATTCACCGAGAACATACTGTTCGAAACCCTTTCGTGGTGACATGTTTTGTCTGTTATTGATTTGAGATTCTTTTTTGATCAAATTTAATGGATATGACGAACCGTAAATCGATTGATTCAGTTTGAAAAAGTGAAATTTCTTGTACCTAATAAAATTAAGTGTCATATACTTATGTGATTTTCAAGAAAAAAAAATCAAAAAAAAAGATTTTCGAATATAAATTAAGCAAAAGAACGTTTTAGATAGTAGAAAATATTTTAGTTTCCTGATAAATTATTGAATTTCAAAACTAATTTTAATGCTCAGAATTTATAAAATTGACGTAGTTTATCTTAGGTCAGCATTCGAGTATTTTCCATCGTGATTCGCACTGAAGCCGGTTATAACTAGACCAATGCTAGTTTCAAGTAGCTCTCGATGAGCTCTATCCATTGCACTACTTTTTTTCTAAAAAACCCTTTCTTTTCTATGAAAACCCCATTTTATCCCGAAAAAACAGGAAAAACTAGAATAAAGCGTCGCGATTCGCTCAACTGCCGGTTCCAACAAAACAAATGATGATTCCAATTAGAACTCGACGCGCTCTATCGAATGGACACCTTAAAAGTTCAATTTCGCCCTTCTGGCCCTGACAAACCGGCCAATCCGAGTCCCGATGTGGATCTTTTTTGGTATGACCTGCCGCGATTCGCTCAACTGCTGGTTCTAACACAACCAATGATGGTTCCCGATAGAACTCAATGAGAGCTATCAAATAGACACCTTTTGAGCTCAATTCGATGCTCTCATCACTAAGAAACCGATCCACCCAGAACGGATTCCAGATCTCTTTCAGTAATACCTGTCATAATTCACTTAACAGGTAGTTTCAACAAAACAAATAATGGTTCCATGTAGATTTCGATGGTAGCTGTCGAATGGACACCTTTTGAGCTCAATTCAATGCTTCCATCATTAAGAAAGCAGTGAACCGTGGTCCCAATTCCATGTTTTTCTCGATAATACCTGTCACGATTCGCTCAGTAGATGGTTCCAACAAAACAAATGATGGTTCCAAATAGATTTTGATGACAGCTATCGAATGGACACCGTTTTAGGGTGTGGGTGTGAGTATTCAAGTTATTGTAAAACAGACTCAATTCCACACCCACACCCACATTGGTGATGCTCCGAAATAACAACCTGCATTTAATACAGTTTGTTCAGTTACGACTTGATTTAATACTGATATTTTGCATACTACAGCTTCTCCGAAATAGAAGACTTTATTTTGATGAAGACAAAAAAATGCTTTTTTCTTTTACTAACCACGAACAATTATATAAAAAAATTCACTTTTTCTCCTTGTGCAATAATAAGGGTGTGGGTGTGGGTGAAGAGAAGATCAACACCCACACCCTTTTATGTGTGCGTACTCATGTTTTTTTTCTCCATCTGAATCTCGTACAACAACTGACTATGGCCTACTTTCTTTTAAAAAAGGTGTCAGAAGGAACCTTTTCGATGTACACTATTTCATGATCCTTTTAAATATTCCAGACTTTTCGAGTGGAGCCTTTTTTCCTGAAAATTTCCGGACAAAATGATTCTAGCTGGAAAGTTTAGAACCTTTAAAAAGTTTCATAAAGTAGCAATCATTGAAAAAGATCTGACTACAAATTTTTTTTTACAGAGTAGTTTTCCTTTGCATAAGTTTCCAGGTCAAAAAACCATATGATAAGATCTTATAAGATCCATCAAAGATCTTACTATCCGTTAAGATCTTAGTATAAGATTATAGGAAATCTTATATAACAGTAAGATCTTGGATGGATCTTATAATACGACTTAGTATAAGATTGCATGAACAACGATTTTGCGTACGATTTTCGTCTGATCTCATATGATCAACAAGACCTTATGTCTGATTTTCTGGCCCAGGCTTTTGCGATACTTGCTTGGTAGCGTTATATGAATCATTTAGTCATCATATTAAATGTTGACAATGAATTAAATGATCTGTTTGCATTTGAACATTCAGTATCAGCTGTTTGGAGGTTGATATGGACGTGCAGATACTCTATTACCCTTTGATGTCCTATTTTACTTAATAAAAATACATGGAGAAAAAAATATGTAATATTCTATCTTTGAGGACTCCGAGGGACTCCACACATATTTGGAGTCTGTTGGAGTTCCTCAGAGTCCCGTGGAGTCTCGGAGACAGCCGTTTCCTCCTTACCAACTCTACTCCATCTTCGTTTTTTAAACATTTAATTCGTAAAATTAAGAAAATTTTCAGTTATTGAAAAAGAGGAATCATATCTTCGAAGCTTCTCAATCGATTCAACTCTAGAGTATGATGACGAATAGGTAGCAGTAATGGAAGGGCAGATGCTGATAGAAATTGATAATTGAAAAAGATCAGTAAGAATAGAAGTAGGTTTCAAAAAGATAATTGATGATCATGCAATTGTTGATGAAAATAAAGAACGACGCAATTATATAGTTTTTTGAAATAAAAAATGGAGTATTATAATGCCAAATAAAAGAACTAAACGAGATGTTTCGAAAGAAAAAATATCACAGTGATAATACGCGGTGTTTCCTGAGAAATTTTGTTTTTAATTCAAGTCAAAGTTCGATTCATGAGCTATAATTAATCCATGGACCAAAGCTCGTAATTCATGGATACCCATAAAAATAATCTGATCGGCCCAGCCTAGCCATGTTTGTCGTGTCAAAAAAATCCGGTCGAGACAAGCATGAACAACAAATTTAGATTCTATCATAAATGTAGCTTTATTATATATTTTATTGACAATTTTTCATTATCAATTACAATATTTAAAAAAAACACAAATATAATGCTTATCTATGATCATTTTGACAACGTACGATTACAAAGTACACAGAGTCGAATTAAATTTTTCTATAAAGTGGTATACCAAGTTGTGATGCAGCAACACTCATACGTCTAATTTTATCAACTTTTTCTTGAAATTCTTGTTCTTGTTCATCTTTTTCGAAACATATTGATGCAATACGATATGTTTGAAAAATCAAAATAAGAAAATTTTTAAACGTAAAGAAATATGTTAAAAATGAACGTGCATGATAGACGATAATAGCAATAAGACGAATAGCAAAAAACGGACCATCTTGTAATGATAATGTAACAAGAATTGACCAAATTTCAGAACGAAGAAATTTTGCTGATCGTTTACGAACAAAGATCTTCACACTGTCTGCTATAGATTTACGTGATGCTTGTTTAGAACGTGATGCATTCCACATTGATGAATGTAATGAATTAAGAGAACCTATTGATGAAACATGAATCATTGGTTGACGAGGAATATTTACTGGTGGATCAACTTCAGAAAATGTTGGTTTCGGAACTTAAATTAAAAATTCAAAAATAAATATTCAATAGTACATTTGTGATACACAATCTAAAAGGAGTGCCGAAGTATATGGTAGAAGTTTGTACTCTCCTCCCACAGACCAACTATGAAAACGTCAAAGACATGACAGATATCTTAAAAAGGACACATCATAGACCTGATAGACATTCCTAACAACATCTCATCTCTTCCTCCGGTACAGACTGTGAGAGATATTGTTGATGTACGATCAAACATCCAACATATCAATATCGTCTCGTTCTAATATATGAATTACTTTCTTATTTCATTTCTGAAGGATGAAGCAAAAGCATGGTAAAGAAATGTATCCTAAAATAGATAGAATAGAACTGACTCCCTATGTGATTAGCAACATAAACTATATCATGTTTCATATTTTAATCCTGCAGAAATAGTATTAACAAATTTTTAATTTTCTTTCAAAGAATATGAACAATACTTTGAATATATATTGAATTGTAATTTTGTCCGAAAGCATCTTACTATTCGATCTTTATTACAAGAAAAAAAAACGGATAATCATGAAATGCTTTCCTTTTATTCATGCCGTTTGTTTTTGGTTCACAACTATCCATGTCATCAAAGTCACGATTAATCGACGATTTTCCGACAAACTTCAATAGTAATTATTATTAGATAAAAATAAATATTTTTCTCTTCTTCTATTTAGATCATCTCAGTGGTGAATTTAGGCGGAAGGTACTCATCCCTCCCCTTCCAAAACATTGTGTTCGATTTTTTTCGAACAGAAAAGGCTTAAAAATGAACTGATACACTACTTCTAATGAGCTTCTAAACATATTTTATGACCATGATTCATTGAATTAGGGGTGTCAACTTTGCGTTCCGTTCCTAGGAACGGGGAACGCTACCCCGTTCCTCAGCGTTCCGCTCCTAGAAACTGGAACGCAACATAAGTTTCTTTCACTTTTAACAGAAATTTTACTAATTCACCGAAGGAAAGCCAATTTCATAAAAATTAGGGATGTCAACGTGCCCCGTTCCTCAGCACTCCGTTCCTAGGAACGGGAACGCTTATCAAAATCGCATTTCCACGCTATATTTCAACATGGTGAGGTCTCTAGACATATTCACTTTTCCTTTTATGTTTGAGTGTTCAGCATTTCCCGTTCCTGAGAACGGGGTAGCGTTCCCCATTCCTAGGAACGGGAACGGGGAACGCTGAACACTCAAACATAAAAAGAAAAGTGAATATGTCTAGAGACCTCGCCATTTTGAAATATAGCGTGGAAATGGGATTTTGACAAGCGTTCCCGTTCCTGGGAACGGAATGCTGAGGAACGGGGAACGCTGACACCCCTAACCATGATCGCTTCCACATAGAAATCCTAGATCTGTCATTAGGTCATTTGACGATTTTAATGTACAGTAAGTATTATTTTATTAAAAATAACTGTTTTTTTTTGTTATTTACTCGGATGAGGAGAAAGAAAGAGTCTTTCCTTATTTACGAGAAATATGCATGAGCACAATGGTAATGGAAATATGATTTAAATAATCACGATAAAATCGCTGATTTGTGGCGCAACTTTGATGATATGAATATTCGTGACATGTCCATAGACGATTATCCCTCAAATAACTATTCTCAAAGTCAGTGTACAGTGAACCAATCTCTTGAATTCATCGGAGCTTTTAATACATTGAAAAAAAAAGATGTAAGATAGAATTCGAAACTGTTCATTCGAATGAAAAGAAATTGTATATTGCTGTGTATGTGTCTATCTTTTGAAAAGTTTACAACAAAAGAAAAAAACCCGAAGTTTAGTTATACGTACTGATAGCATTTCTATTCAATTTCATTTCATAATCACTGTTCACATCAACATTTTCGATGATTGTATCGGGTGGATTAAAAACACTAAATGATGATGCACGTCGTTTAGCATGTAATGCTTGACTTGTTGCTAATGGTCGAGTTGTTGGTGAAAATATTGTTCGTGGTATTAATTTATCTAAAATTTGTTGACGTCTTGATAGAGGTTTTGAAACTAATTGTCGTTCTGCTGATTGACGTATTTCAATTTGTGTATCATCAAATTCCGCATGAAATGAACGACCACGTGTAGCAGTTAAATTAAGTGTAAATTGAAACATACATAAAGAAAAAACAATAAGAACAGTACGAACCATTGATGAACTTAAATAAATTTCTGTTTCACCAAGTGATGTTAATAAATCAAGTATATCCGAAGCAAGTGATAAATAGACAAGTAATAATTGTGATAAAGCACTATGAGAAATATTTCCTTTTGGTAATAACCATCGACCAAGAATAATAATAAACATAAAAGAAAGTTCAACAAGCATTGCATCTTCAAGATTCCATTCTTTTATCTAAATTAATCGGAAATTTTTACAATAAGAAACTTACATTAATATATATATATATATATATGATTAAACAGTTCATGCTATTTAATTCATGCGATATCATGCTAAAATTAATGAAGTAGTAAGTGATTCTGTAGTAGGTGGTAATCGATGTGATATTGGATAATGATCAAAATCAATTTGTTCATCTTGATCAATATGTTCAATACAAATTGACCATAAACGATAAAATTGTAAAAATAAAATAATAAGATTTTTACATGTAAAAAATATTGTTGTATATGAATGTACTTTAAAATGAATAACAGCAATTAAACGTATAATAACAAATGGTAAATCTTGCATTAATGTTGTTATAAATATAGATGGTAATTCACTATTTGCTAAATTTTGATATTTTGATTTAATACGTTTTTGTTGTTGAGATATTAATTGAATATTTTTTGAATTATGATCAGTTTCTAAACGAAACATTCGACCACGTGATGCAAGAAGACTAAGACTAAATTGAAATGTTGACCAAGAAAAAACAGCTAATGTTGAATAAATCATTTCAATATTTTCTATAACTTTATCTTCTTGAAATATTGATAATAAATCAATCATATCTGATGCTAATGATAAATAAACAAGTAAAAGTTGTGAAAGAGCAGAACGACTCATTTTTCCTTTTGGTAATAACCAACGACCAATTATAATAATCATTAAAAATGTTACTTCAATAGCCACAGCCCAATCATGAACAGTCATTATAGGTATTCCCTAAAACATGCCAACAACCAAATATTGTTTTCATTGCATTCGCATGCCATAGACATAGAACATGCTTGATAAATTATATTTCGAAATTAATTTTTCTATAGATTTTAAATGTAAAATTTGCAAAAAACAAAAATTCCATTCTCTTGACATAGAGAGTTACTTTTCAATCGAAACAATATTCATTTGATGAGTCCTACTGAGTAATAGAAAACTCTAGAATAATTTAATTTTTCGAGTCTTCGTTCTTGAGATATCGAAATTTTACTGGATCACATGGGAAAATTATCCTTCGAGTTTGGACTTCAAAGTTTATAAGAACAAAATACTCAATCAGATTAATTGATTCGACAAGTTGTCACTTTTCTAGCATCTCATATCTTGACATACTCAATATTCAAAATTCTCTCATGTGTAAATGTAAACTTTGGCCCATTCAGCTAATTTCATACGTTCTGTTCGGAGCTAAAAGTTAGTCATAGTTTTAGGGAAGCTATATCGGACTATTGAATTTATCGCTAGATGGCATAAAGGCAAGAGTATTATTCTTATAACATTTATTCTCAAATATTAAATTTAAAAAGTCTTATTTTAATTTTAGTATTCATTTTCGACATGAAAAGATCTACAGTCTTGTGTTTATCTTTATAAACGAAAATGAATTTATTGTAAAACTTCTATTAACAAAGGTTAATTACATTTCAATCTGACAGACTGAAAATGTCTAGGTTACATTCTTTTCAAGAAAAACTAAACAACATGTAATCCTTGGAATACAATAATAATATTTTGTTTTTGATATTGCTAAATATATCTGCACATGATTTATGATCAGTTCGTTATGAAAACAAACGTTTACATTAACGAGATATAAATCTTGTCATTTCTAAAGCTTCATAAGAGAAAAGTTAATTAACTCCTAAGACATACAAGACGACAGATTGATTTATTATCAAATATACAGTAAAATTATCTGTTTTTTTTTTCAGATGTTTTTATTATTATAACAAAAGTTCAAAAGATTATATTCCTTGTCGACATTTTATTTTCAAACGAACTATACAATGAGAACAGAATCGATGTACTGTAATACCCAAGTGAAGAAAGGATAGAAAAAAGAAAAAAAAATAACACACTAACACACAAATGCATACACGCGTTAGTGCACGTGTGTGACCTTGGCAAGAATGGAAGAAAATGACAATGACGAAAACCTACCAGCTAAAGCAACTGATGAAGATATTCGTAAAGAATTAGATAGTGTTACAAATGAAAATAATACACAAGATCTATTTATTTATTTTAAATCATCTTCAATTATATCAATTTTAATTATTGTTATTATTTCACTTGTTGGTATATTAACAATAAGTTTACTTATAAGAACTATTTTACATTCATATGGTATAACACGTCGATTATCAATGTATTTTGGTTTTACACCAAATTATACTATCGATGAATCAACATTAACATTTTGGACACCGAAAAATATCTATGATAAACAATCATTTGAAACAACTACTATTACTGTTAGTTCTTCTTCATCTCATTCTACTTCTTCTCCTGCAGTTATCTTAAATAATACTGAAAAAAAAGCTCAAACTATTTTTCGAATTATAATTCTTCCAACAATTTTTCTCTTATCAATTCCATGTGGTATATTAGCTTTTTATATGCGTCGTCGTCTTCATTATTATCCAGCATGGGGTGCTCGACCAAAAAAAAGAGCTGAACCATATATAATTATGGCACTGAAATAACAAAAATCAAATGATCTTATTTGACCTAAGTTTTCTTTTCTTTTTGCTTTGTTATTATGATATCTTATTAAATAAAAGATATATGTATAGATAGATAAATATAATCATGCATCATGCAATGATTATTTTTATTACCTCACCTTTTTCATAAATAAACCCTATAGAATTTCATTTGTTTAAATTTTAAAGAAAAAAAAAAACAATTTTTTTTTGTTTTCGTATAGAAAAAGACAAAAAAAATCATAAAGAAAACAAAACAAACCGTTTTATCATTAAGAGTAGCTCTTGATATAACACCTTGTTCGAGCATTAATTTTAATTCTTCTACTTCGGTTGCATTAAGTGGTTGACGACCAAGTTTAACATTTATTCGATCAATTTCAAGAAACCATATAGGTGGTATCATTGTACATATATAAAGAAAAAAACATGGAGAAAACCTAAAATTATTTAATAATCCTCATTATTATCATTTATTTTCTTTTGTAATGGAAACATTTACCATTTAGGTTCTTTGCCTAAAAACATAAACAAATAAAATATTTAATTAAAATATTTTTGTTTTTTTTACAAATAAACAAACCTTTTCGCGTAATAACAGTAATAAAAAGTTCAATAAGAAGAAAATTTACTCCACACATATTTAATAAATACCAATAATTACCTTTTGAAATAACAATACGTATAATAGCAATTGTTGCATGAAGTGCAAATACAACTCGTATTATAATTGCTTTTAATATATCAAATGAATGACATATCCAACGACCACAATCACGTAAAATTTCTTCAGTTTTCGACATATCTTAATATATTTAAAATTCTGAAAAAAACGACATAAGTGATCTATTGTTTTATCATAACTATAATAGAAAAACAAAAAGAGATAATTATCGCTGTAAGGGTTCACAATATCTCTAATCTTCTATATGGAAATACAAACAAACAGCACCAATAGAAGATTAATAATAACCCTATAGGATCCAAATCATCTCTTTTATCTGTCAGTAAAACAGGCATAGAGACTAATTACTTCGAATGTCAAACAATATATATAAGAAAAGACGTCAGAAAATACTTTAACCGAACTCTCTAGTTTATGAGGCACATGAAGAATCAATTATTATTTTATCGTCAACGAGTGGCTTTTATAACTTGTCATGAGGAAAAAAAAAGCAATTCATATGCTAGGTTAACTCAAATAAAAGTAGTTCATTCATAAGATTGTTTATGCAAGTAAAGATAGGTTGATTTACAAGAATCTAACGTCAACACTTATATCTCTTGTAAAAATCATGTATATGATTGTTCCTATATCCTGCAAAAATGATGAAGCCTAGACAACGATTCCATTTTTTTTTCCCTACCATTATTATTGACAATAATCGACACAATACCAATCAACAGATGCGTGCCTGAGTGGCAATCAATTAAGATAACAAATAGACATTGTCCTTTTTTTTTTTATGTATGAAATGACATAGAACAAAGGCAAACGAAAAGAAGAAGAACAAGAAGAAGGAGAAAAAAAAAAAAAAGAAAGAATTCATAATTTCTACAAAATAAACTAATGTTTTGATTTAATGATGATATTGATAAGCATATATAAGTGATGCTTGTGAATTTTGATGTTGAACAATACGTTTACTTCCTCGTGCATAAGGTGATGTTGGTGTACGATAATTTGATTGACGAAATACAGGTGTTGAAACGGTTGGTATACGTGGATTATGTGCACGATGATAATCACTTGAACGTCGACGTTGTTGTTTTCCACTACCAATACTATATCGAGTTTCTGTTAAAGAACAAAGTCCTCTATTTTGTCCGCTGGGTACTAATGTTGTTCTTAGTAATTGATTACATCCATAATTTTCTCTAAATATAAAAACAAACAAAAAAATTGCTTTTCTTTCTTTGTTTTCTTCTCTTTTATGATGATAATAAAAAATGACAATATCAAATAGAATAAATATGAGAACATTTCACTATTCAAAAATCTTATATATATATATATATATATTATAATTGAATAGAGAAATGTCTTAATGACATACATATCATTCACACTTCTTTTTACAATTTTTTTATTCATCATGCAAATATAATTTAGTCATTCGATTTATTTTTTTTGTATAGTTTGTTTTATTTGCTGGATGTTCATAACTGTGTAGGAAAAAAGAAACAACATGCATGAAATACAATCATATCAAAGAACTATTGTTTTTTATTTTTATTATTTTACTAGGATAGAGAAATAGTTGATGATTGTTTGGTACTGAAAAAAAAGTTATCATATATATTTTAATTTGAATGAATATATAATCAAAGAAATAAATAATATATATATATATATATATATACCTGCATCGAAGACAAAAATTAGTTACAAAAAGCCAATAAATAAGTGGATTAGCTAATGAATTCATATAGCATAATGATGATGTAACTCGAATAAGATAATTTTCAATTAAATTAAACGAATTCATTACTGTAAGAAGAAAATATGGTGACCAACATGCAGTAAAAGCTAAGAAAAATAAATTATACAAGTAAATAATTACTATTTGTATGAAATTAATATTAAATTTGAATATTTTTTTTTTATTAATTTAAAATAAAGATCATTTTTATTTCCATGAGTATTTAATGAAAACTAAATTTTCGTATTTTTTTTAAATATTACTATTGTCTTTTCTTAACTTCCATACATTAGTAACTAAATACCTTAGACAACAGACATTGATAATGAAAATATTTTAGAAAACATTACATTGCTTCGATGAAGAATTTAAGAATAAAATTAAATATATATGCTTTTTACAAACATCATCTATCAGAAAATATAAAAAGAAATCTACTTTCTATAATGAAAAATTAAAGTTTTATGATTAAATGCATTTCATATTTTAATAATTAATAAGACAATAGTACTCGTACGATTATTAAATTTTATTCTTAATTTATTGTTAAACTTACCAATAACAATAACTAATGTCATTTTAACAGTTTTTATTTTTGCTCTTGGTATAACACCAAGTGATCGTATATTACGAATACTTGATTCAATTTGATGATCATCTGTGTTGGCTATTTTGTTGTTTTTTTTTGCAATTAAAAGAAATAAAATAAAATAAAATAAAAAAGAAGAAAGAACAATAATAATTTATTTTTACCATTTTGATTTGATCCTTTCAATGTAAGAAGTCGACGAAGTTTAGATTTTTCATTTCGTCCATGTGGTATGTCATCTTTAATTCTAACTGAACCTTTTTTCCATATTATTACAATAATAATAACGTATGATACAGTCATAACAATTAATGGAACAAGATAAAGTGAAATAAAAAGAAAATACACATATGCCTAATTTAACAAAATTTTATTCTTTGTATTGAATAAAAAATAAAATCTTACATTCCAATTTTCAACATCTGATCGATTACCACATATAGGCATTCCTCGTATTGTTTCGATATCTCGTAAATATAACTGAGCAGAAGCAAATGTCATTGAAATAATCCATGATGCTTTTTTTTTTGTTTAATTAATAAAAATAAATCAAGTTATTGAATTTAAAAAAAAAAAATTAAATTTTTATCTTACCGATTATCAATGAATATCGAAATGCTACAAAAAAAAAAGAATAAATTCAAATGATAATTAGTAAATATATATATATACCTGAAGATGCTGTTCGTACATCCATTGGTCGAATAATTGCATAGAGACGATCAATTGATACACAAACAAGTACATAACTATATGAAAATTAGCTATTTTCTTTTTGTTCATATTACTAATATAAACTTTTACCTTGAATTATATGCGATCGTACCCTATTAATAAAAAAGAAATAAAATTATCAAATGTTGTTAGATATATATATATAATATTTTATTTTATTTGTACTAACAATATGCTAATCTATTTTCTTTTTCTTGTACTATTACGATGTTTCTTTTTTTTACTTCTCAGTACTAGACTCATATAATTATCGAAATATCATAGTTGAGTATGTTAATATGACAGAATTTTCTTGACATTTTTTTCCCGAAAACTCAAGAGGTTTTTTATGATCAACCAATAATTGTATAGGAAAAAAAAGAAATTTTTTTTTCTTAATTGAATTAATTATTATGTTATATTGTAATATGAATTTAGAAGATAAATACGAACTTGTATAAAACTAATCAATCGACATCCAATAGTTCCGAGTACAAATGGTATACAACTTTTTTCAATAATATCACGAGTAACAATAATAATGCCAACAAGTAGATCTAAATAAAAGAAAAATATTTCTTATTGTACTTTGTTATAAATATCGAAATCTATATTCATATATGAATGTTTAGCAAGTCTTTTTTTTTAACGTTTGTTTTTCTTGAACAACTATTATTATTAACGTCGATCGGGCTTTTTTTTTGATTCTTCTAAGAACGAAATATATTCGTTTGTCGTCACGTATGTTGAACGACTCGCTCATCTGAATAATCGTTAAAATACAATTAGTTCTGATGCATTATAAGTAGTATTTTTAAGAAAAAAAACAGTTTGTTTGTTGTACCCGTTTTTATCGTAACATTTTTCCGTAATTTTATATTCAATAGATTTATGCGTAATATAGTATCTGACTATATATTCATGATTGAATAAGTCAAGTATTACTAGTCGAAAAAAATATCGTTCGGATATGTCCATACGGACGAACAATTTCCGGCAATAATAATAATACTAATAATAATAATAATAATAATACTAAAAGACAACTAACTTACCAGCATAAGCAAGATTTAATAGAAAAAAACTCATTCGACTGCGACGTTTTTTTGAACAACTTAATTGTAGAATAACAGAAATATTTGCCGATACAATTAATACAAATATAATACAAAGAAAAACGATAAGCTAAAAAATAAATAATTATAAAAATTTTATATTCTTATCTAAAATATATTTACATGAAAATTTTTACAAAGATCATCTAATGATGATTCATTGATTGATGTTGATGTTGATTCATTTCTTAATATTGTTGTCATTGTTTCAGTAAAATTCACATAACTATTCATTATTATGATAATTCTAATAAAAACATTACTGTTCAAGGATTTATGTTCTTTTTTTATGCTTGTGCGTGTACGTTTGACACTCGTCAATCGACAACTAACAATAGAAAATATCTATCTAGAAAAAGAAAACAATAGAAAAAAGAGAATGTCAGAAAAGCAAGAAAAAAAACGAGAGAAATTTTTAAGAATCATGAATTGTGCGTGTGTGTGTGTATTTACTTGTCTATAAGATTATTTCGATGGAGATGAGTGATGATCATTTCCTGTATTACTGTATTTATTCTTCTTATCATTTAAACTTTGTTATATATTCTGCTAATCGAAGGTGACACAACGAACACAGATATATATTTTACTTAGTAGAACAAGGAAATGAGAGATAGATAATATTCTCAACACGACAACACTAGCTAGATGATAGTACTAGTGTGTTTATAGCTGATTGTCTATAAACGTCTTGCTGACTGCTAGATGTTATGATGAAGATAATACTCTACTAGTTTATGTCATTGTAGATAAATGAGATAAACTTGTTGTTTTTGCCTTATATATACTACATGGATGAAATACAAAAACAGAATGATATGACACACCGTTATATATAAATATACAACTATAACTAACAACATAAGAACTCTCTCTATGAAACATGATGTCAAATGAGATATGATCATCTCTCTCTCTATATATATATATATATATTACTGTATTATTGCCAGATTAATCGGAGTGACACTAGCAAACGCTCTCTTCTGTTCTCAGTTTTTTTTTTTCATCTAATCGTTTTTTCCTTCTCCGTTCTCTCGATGTCTTAAATCTCTATCTTTCGAATGTGATCATTAGCTCATGTCAATAATGCCTAAAATACTATACAACAACATTAATTGTCTCATGTGCCTATTTAATTTTACTATATTCTATGTTAGATTATTAAGAAATAATGATGTGTGTGGTTTTTCCTTTGTCCTATATCTGTCTTTCTAAGTGGAACTAAAGACAAACAACAGGAACTTATACAATATGTACTGACATAAAAGAAACGAGAGTATCAACACTCGTTATTTTTCTTATTCGCTATAAATGCCAAAAAGTTCGACTGAAGAACAACTTATCTATAAAGAGATGTGATGGTGTACTAAAAAATAGATAAAAATCTTTTGTATTAATCAATAAAAAAAACAAAAGAATTTTTTTTTAGGTGGGCAAACGGATACTAATTCAATTTTTGTTTTTTACTAACATTATTTATTTCTTAACAAACTAAAAACTATGAATATACTATATTCTTAAAACAAAAAAAATTGCATTTAGAAGATGAAAAAAAAAAAAAAAATAACAAACTTGCTCTTTTATTTTTTGTACAAATATACATTTTACATCGATACTCTCGACGAAAGAAAAATTAATAGATTAATCAGTAAGGACAGTTCTATTATGCCTATACTTGATGTATAAGACCATATGTACAACATACATTAGTAAATTCCTATCTTTCTCTATAATAAATGAAACATTTTGTATTACTTCTACTGGAAACTCTGTTTCTATTAATCAATATATATATTGCATTGAAGAGTGATCTTATAAATATGTTTTTTTTTTCTTCTTCTTTGATTCCTACACATATATAACAATGAGATTATAAACAGTATTTAGATGTTGATATATAAACAAATGATAATGATAAAGAACAACCTACAAGACATATAATAGAAAATTGATATTATCTTCTACAGATGGATACATAATGATAACAAAATATCAAATTGAATATGTTTCAACAATTCATTAATAAAAAAAGAAAGAAAAAAAACCTTCGTATTATTTTATTCTGTTGATTATCTATGTAGTAGATAAGGTTCTAATTAAATACAAAAATGAAAATTATTTTTTACATATATGGAAATGTTGTAATACTGACAGATACAAATACAAGAGAACGTTTCCATAGCCCACACTATACACATTGTAAAAGAATGCAAGTTTTTGTTTTTTTGTTTAAGATAAATATACCATAAGATACAGTGCATTTTATAGGGTGTTTTTTTTTAGCTGTAAATAATATGTTAGTATGAATAGTGAAAAAATAAAAACGAAAAATTCTCAATTGATCTCCACTATAGGTTAACCTTGTATCTGTCATCAATTTTATTGATAAAAAACAGTGGAGAACTTATCGGAAAGAAATATCAAATGTTATAAAATGCAAAATGAACAGATGATGGCATAAAAAATTTAGAATCTATTTTTAAAAAAAAGCTAAGAATAAACATTAATATATAATGAATGTGGCAAAAGAGCACGTTTTGTGCGCTTTTTTTTGAACTCATACTTGATGCTGTGTAATTATTCAAGAATTTTTTTACGTCAAAAAAAAAAAGATTGAGTGTGAACTAATCTTTAAAAGTACATTTATGTGTACTCATTAAGTTTTACTTTGTATCTCATGTAGAATAAATGTTATTTGAATTCAATTAAAAATATATCAGTTTTGAGACCAGAAGAATTCGTACTAAAAATTATAGCTAAATTATTTTTATAAATAATATCAATCAAAAGCAAAATTCACGAGAGATGACTATAAAAACAGTGATATTGGTCGTCTGAACTAATCAAAACAGAAGTACTTAAGACTTTTTTAAATATTTAATGCAAATAAATTATGATATAGTTTTATCTAAGTCTGAAACGAGATCAAATGAGGTTTAATATGATTATAATCGAGACAACTGAGAAAGAAGTTATTAGGACCATGGAAAAAAAAGTCATCGTGACCGAATGCGAATTAAAGAAAAAACATCGTTTCGTACATTTCTAGATATGATAGATCATTGTATATTGGATAGATTTTCTTTAGTATTGCCCTGTTGAGTAAAGGACGCGTAAAAAGACTATTATCGGAATTTTAAAAAAAAGGCCATTGGGCAAAATGCTTATAACTTTTGAACGAAGATAGCTAGAGCCCTGCGATTTTCGCTATTCGAAAGGGGAGACAAGAGGACGTCTTTTTCTCCAATATTGTAGAGGACGAAATCATTTAAAAATTAGTTATTTCTACAAAACGTCGAAAAAATGCATGAAAACGATCTGTCATTCCAATGAAGTTTTAGTTCTGACATCTGATCTAGATAGAGGAACTTCAGATGTATAGTTCAAGATGTAATTCAAATGATTATCTTTTCACCACCTAATGTTGAACAAATAAACTTGTCTATTCAATCGCACGAAAACTATAGAATTCTTTTAATTTTTAAGCATATTTTCTTACTTTTCGTCAAAATTTCATCTGAATGGCAGACTGTTTTCTATACATTTTTTCAATATTTTGTAGAAATGACTAATTTTTAAATGATTTCGTCCTATATAATATTGGAAGAAAAGGCGTCCGCTTGTCTCCCCTTTCTACTGGTGAAAACCGCAGAGTTCTAGCTATCTTCGTTCAAAAGTTATAAGCATTTTGACCAATGGCCTTTTTCAAAAATTCCGATAATAGTCGTATTTCTAGTCATATCAATACGTCCCGTCTAGACTTTTTCTCAAAAAGTCCTAGCATTTGACTAGTTCGAACTTGCTTATAGTCTATAGCTTACGTCCTGGCTGCTTAACTCGTAAGCATCATTCTGTATATTATGTCTGGTCTTGTTGAGACACAGAGTTCTGCAGGGTAACGCTACCATATAGAGTAAGGGTGATACAAAAAATGGTTAGGTTACAATTAGGGTATTGTTCATATTCCTGAGATTTTATTCGTAACCAACTTCGAAGACACTTTTGATATCTATTTGGCTTAAAAGACTATCCATGTAACTTCAATGAAAATAATGGATGTAATTACATGACAATGCAACAGAGATCGCTGGAATGCAAGTTATTACATAAATTTTAATGCACTACAATGTATTATCTGCGAAGTAATGCATTAAATAGCCTGCACTGTCACGTAACTGCATCCTTATTCAGTTACATGAGCACTCAGAAGACAGAATTGGAATCGGTAGGGTTTTTCTTACTGGTATCGGTATACCGGCATGAGTTACTCTTCTTTTTTTTTTGATCCTATAACAGTCAAATTAACCCCTATATTAATCATATCTTCCTTCTAGTCACTATAGTAATGGTATCAAAACACTGTCTCAAGACTATAGTGCCTATTACGATTTATTTTCCTATGTTTTGTCTTTCTTAGCATCTATTAGTGGATAGAAGACATAATTAGTCTTCAGGCATTCATACTTTTTATTAACTGTTACCCCGCAGGACTCTGTTGAGAAAAAGACTAGGCATATCGTACCGTTCTGACACCCATCAAACAAACGATTTTAAATAAAAAAAAAAAGTAAGAGCATCCATGTCTCTGCATGCGACGAGTTGTGGTCGTATCCGGACTAGTCTAATTTGAAATAAGATATGGAAAAAAAATTTCTGAGAACTTTTTTTTCCATATATTATATAAAGATGACGATTAGATTCGAATTATAATTACACTGAAAAAAAGTTTTTAAATATAAAAATAGATTAAAAATTATTTAAACTGAAAAGAAATCAAATACTTTTGATATTATGATTTAATTTAACCTTATATTTCCAAGTGTGAATTTTAAAATATGCAGCTAAATAAAATTTATACTATTTAAATATATCCTTAAATTTAAATCATTAGAATTCAGAGTTTAAATAAAATAAAATGTAATTATAATACAGAAATATTTAAATTCTTCTTACATTAAATATTTTCAATATAGTTTACACATGTAATAAACTTTAAAACATATAAATTTGTACTTCTTGTTAAGAAATAAATATTGTGTGTTTTATTTCCTTATACTTTTTAATGATTCGATATATTTTTGCATTTTTTTACATCGGCAAGCACAAAATATGATGAGACATGAAAATAAGGATGTACGAAATATGTTGCCTGCCCTTGACATTAGTATTGATTTTGAAGGGCTGTTCTAATTGTCACTCAAATTAGAAAAGAAATCAATAGCATTAGTTATGTCAAGGAAATAATACACATATCGAAAGATTATTTAAATTATACATTCTACTTCTTTGTCTTTTTATTACTAATCAGTCTAACGACTTAGAAGAACACCTTAGTCGAAACAAAACAGGTTGTTTGCAGTATTTAGACTAGGTTGACAGTACACTCTCCAAAAACTGGACTAATCTTGGTGAGCACATATAATAGTTTAGACTAGTCAGAATCGCTTGACTTCGACTAGTTTCTGATTGTCTAGCAGATGGATGGAAGTCACCAGTGTCCGACTCGGTCCGGGTCACAAAAAACTAATCGATTTCGAGTTTCACATAAAATAAACAGCAATTTGAGATGTGATAATGATTTATTTATTCTGATTATTGAGAGAGCATTTATAGATTCAGTAAAAGGTACTTAATCTCTATAGAAATTTTGCTTCGATTGTCTGAAAATTATCTGTCGATCTTGGGTCGGGTCGCATCGCAAAAAAAGTGACCCATGTCGTATACTGGAAATCACTCTGTGACTTAGACTGTATAAACTGATGTGAGTCTATCTCTACGTCATGGTCTACCGTCAGGATGGCCGTTAGATATTGAATAATGTCGGGTGGGATGTTCGAATCCACCTTTCACCTCTTTTTCTATTCTACGAACTAGTCTGAGCGGCTTAGATAGACAAACGGACTAGGCATAACGAAGTTTCACAATGTCCTGGACTGGTCCAGACGTCGTCGCACGACATTTCTTGTCGAAGTAATTAGTCATGAAAGGTATAGAAGACGTTTTAGACTAGTTCTGACGGGTATTGTGGACATTTCGGACTATTCATGCCGTTCATCTTCATTCGTTTTTTTGCTTATTTGGGTGATCTGTGCAAAAAAGAAGGTGTAGGTATTGGTCTTCTTCTTGCCCTCATCCACATCCACACTGATGATGATTTATAGTCGTTTCTGAGCGGTCATGTTTGACCTGGTATACTTTTAGAAGTGACAATCATTGTTATTAAACTATTGAATCAATTGATCGATTGTTCAATATTGTATACATGAAGATGTAATGTAATATTTATTATGAGTTAAAAAGTAAGTCTGATCATAAGATTATGAACAACTAACATCACATTATTTGAATAATATGATATTGATTGTTTTTTTGCAATAGAAATAATACATATTTAATGAATTCTATATAATTGTATTGATTTCTATGCTGTCTTAATAAATCAATATATAAGATATGTTATATTCGAAGCATGAGCAAGACACAGAATAATATGAACGATGAATCAAAATATAATATTTTCAAAGGGTTTACAAAACAACTGAGATATATATTTGAAAAATACTATCATTTTAGTTATTCGAATTTTTGAAGATTTCTTTTTTTCAACCAAACAGTAGTCAGTTTGAAATGAAAACTGTGTATATACATGATCAACTTTTCAAGTTCTATCAAATCATATGTAAATGAACTAAAAAACAAATATCTTGGAAAAGCTGGTAACATTGTGCATATAAATGTATATTTTTTTCATTGTGAGAGACTGTTCTTTACGAATTGAAATTACGTTTATGATTCATGTTCTTATTAGAATCTAATTGAACATTTATTTTTCTCAATTAGACACTATACTATTAAATATTTAATCTTCTTATAATTATTTATTTATTTTCTGCAGTAGATAATGAATTGTCATTAGTATTACTTGTTGTTTGAATAAAATTCAGATGAATATCTATTTGTTGGACAAGGAATAACAAGTACCGGTGGTCGAATATCACGTGAAATATATTTTGTTAATTTATTTTTCATATCTATATTATAAGAATTAATTTTTTGTTGTAATTTTCTTAAATGTTTTTCGATAATATATGTATTATTATCGAATATTTTCTGAATATTTGTTGAAATACAACATAACTAAGAAAATAAATCAATGAACAGAAAAAAAAATGTTGTTTTTTTTGTTTTTTTTTCTACCTGCTTTTGAATATGTTTTAAAATAGGTAATAAACGAAATGTAATATTAAAAGAATATTTATTTATTTGAATATCATCATATAATTCAAAATCATCAATAATTGTTCGTATATATTGAATCATTTTATTGATATTTATATCTAAAATATTTGTTTGTAATTGTTCTAAATGATTTTTAAAATGATTATCAAATTGATAGAATTCTTTTTCATTATTTATTAATATATTTTCATTATCAATATTAATTCCTTTTGAAATATTATTTCGTCGTTGTTGTACAAGATTTCTTATATGAATTTTTAAACGATACTGTAATTCATGTGATATTTGTGAAAATTCATTTAAAGTTGCTGGTAAAAGAAAATTATGTTTATTTAATTTAATAGTTAATATATTTATATTTGATTTATTCGAATTTTTATAAATTTTTGTGATGAATTTAATATAATCAATTATAAATTTATGAATATCAAGAAAAATTTTATGAATAGAATGATATTCATTCATTTCTTCAAATAATAGATATAAAAAGCAAAAATTACTATAGAGATAATAAATGAAAAATATTTGCTGAATCATTTTTTAAAGTATTCTACAAAAAAAAAAAAAACATCTGTTTCATTAAGTACCATTAGTAAAAAATGTGACACTGTTATATATCATATATATATATCTATACATTTGCCTGAAAATAAATTTTTCAATCATGCATTTTCCATTGCTTTTTTTCACAATTTTACTATTAATATTCACTACAAGAGTGTGCGCTTTTGATACAATGGCAATTGATGAACCTAGCATTACTTGTTGTAAACAAGCACAATGTTCAAGTACACACTTTTGCAATATTAGACAACGTGTTTGTATGCTCAAATATGCTGTCAACAGTACATGTGAACGTGATTTAGAATGTTCTGATGGCAAATGTTATGATTATATATGTCGTCAATCATGTGAATCCGATGATGATTGTTCTTTAACCAAAGAATATTGCACTGTAAACAAGTATTGTAATGCTAAATACTGTGGTATGTGTCTACGAGATGCACAATGTGCTAATAATCTTTGTGAATATTTTCATTGTACATCAGATGATTGTACTAGAGCATTAGACATTCTTTTTAAACAATCATAAATATATTTATATATATATATATGTTTTACAATTACAAAAAAAAGAAGACATAAAAGGGAAGACTTATAAATTTTTTTTTAACATAAAATAAAACTAAGCATTGCAGCTAGACATATGACAAGAAATAATTTAAATAAACTTGGTCGTTCAATATTTGTTGAACTAATATTAATATCACTAATTTTATTTTGTTTTATTGGAATATTTAAATCATCATCAGAAAAGCATAATGATGAATTATAAATATCATTTATTTCAAAACGTCGCGAAAGACAAAACTCACGTCCATTTGCATATAATTTACCAACAGGTATACCTTTCATCAATGCTGTTGCACATGCATTATACATTCGATTACAATAAGATAAACATACATGTAAACGTTCACTACGATAAAATACATATTGCAATGGTGAACATACATAACACATTAATATATTAATAAAATCTGTACATTCTGTTGATGAACCAATTAATGGACGTACTTGAGAAAAAATAAGTCGTACTTCATTATCACGACAACAACTATTCTCTTTAAACCATGTACAATTTGTTAATGCTGGTTGTGGACTTGGTGCACGATTAGAAAAAAATGAACAATAAGGTGCTTTTTCAGACGTAAGTAATGATGTTGATGTATAAAAAGAATTATTATTTAAAGTTAAGACAGATGATAATAGGAAAATAAAGAAATAAATTCTATGACATTTAAAATAATAAAAATATGACATCAGACAAAGCCAATATTATAAATATACATAATCTGAAGTATAAATAGTATTTTTTTTTAAATGAATTAACATTATACTAAATTTTATATATATATATATATATCTAAAATGGCAACAAAAAAAAAAAATTTCATTCCTTTTTCTTTTTTTTTTTTGTTTTAGCTTTGCCGTGTATACAGACCAACAAAATAGACCAGACCAACGAATGTCTAATATGAGCAAAAATCTTTCTCTTTCTCTATACAGATACACATTTCAAAGGACGACGGAAGATAAATAACAAAATGAATAAAAAAACAAACAAAAGAAAGAAAGAAGAGAAAAATGAATCAAAGAGAAAGAGTAATTATCACTGCACCGGAGCTTGAACTGGTTGCTGCTGTCGTTGTAAAGCAGCGCGCTGACGACGTATCGTATATAAAGCACCGATAAGACCAAGTAATGCTGCCATTAAATATAAATCCCATGATGAATCAAAATCAATTGTTGTTGAATGATTTTCATTAACATTTGATGTTGATGTTGATGCTGTTGTTGTTGTTGTTGCTGATGTCGTACTTGATGTTGTCGTTGATTCAGTTGATGATGAAAAAAATATTGAAATTAATTTTTCCAAGAATAATTCCAAATGAAGTTTAAATAGAACAATACTAACAGGTAAATAAGCATCGGTACTTGTTTCTGCTGCCATATCATAAAAACGTTTTGCTAAATGTATATCCTAAAAAAAAATATATATATGATAGAGAGAACACTAATAGACTATTTATGTATAGAACTTGAATAATTACATTTCGCACAAATTCAATACAAATCTTATAATTATGAAGTCAAGCAAAAATTAATTTCAATGTATTTCTTTGAATTCAGAGATAGAACCGGTCAGGTTTTTTTTTAATTGATCGTTTTTATTGTTTCGAGTCAAATACTCAATAAACATCCGATAGGGAATAAAAGCAATCTAACAAGGGACGTACGTCAATTGATTAATTATATTTGGAGTCATATCAACCCTAATGAACTATGAATACTTTGAAAAAAGTTCGACCTGTCAGCTTCTCAGTGCAGAAATACTGCGTTTTTTCAACTCAATCCTGTAGTCCACCATGAGAAACATCGAGTTTGCACAAAGATTGGTCTTAAAGAGAGTAGTTTATTGTGAAAGTTTCAAGTCGGTGATTTGCTGCTATCCTAAAATAAGAACATTGAATCTGCTGGTGTATATGCGCAATACAAAAATTTGAGACTTTCACAATAATTGATTCTCATTAAGACTTTTCTCTGTGCAAGATTTCAAGTAGAAATTCGAAAATGAGCTTTTTTGATATTCCTAAAGGGGATTCCAGCAGTAAGCTGCTAAGTGTCTGAACTTTTTTTACAGTAGGATCTGCATGATCCACATAGTTCCGATAGAAAAACAATTAATTAGTTGAAGAACTTCTCTCGTAAGAAGTCTATGGTCTGAATTTTAGCAAAACAAAAAACGGACATCTTCTTTTCAAGAAAGATATGGATCTCTCCGTGATGATGAAGAGCAAGTTTTCTAAACTATACGATCACTATTCTTCATGCAATCATAATTGATTCTTGTGGGATACTCATTATTGATTTTGAAAATTATATTGTACTATTATATACTTGACGAGACACCTTCTTTCAGTGATGTACGGTCTTTAACTATATCTCATAGTAAAGTGGCGGACAAAAGTTTAGAGCACTTTTTATTTCATGATTTTTTCTATGAAGGATAGCTAGCGGAGGACAACTAAATAATGATTTCGATAGCTCTCGAAACGAGCTGCAAGCCTATGAAGTCAAAATTCTATAAGGCATATTACTCGAATATTAATGACGGAAACTACTTTTTCCCTAGTGAACAAAAATTTAGCGAACTTTTAAAATTTTTAAATATTTTATTTATTTTTCGCTTTTAAAGAATTATCAAAAACTCTTTTTCGGCGCTATTCGATGCAAAATTAAGTGGGGTATATTTTGGTAATAAGTAATTTTGAATATTATTAGTTCTGATTAATTAATAAATATAGAAAAATTTTGTTTTAATTTTCAACTTTTAGGTACATCATTCGAAAGAGCATTAAAAACTGAAATTAATTTTATCAAGATAATTCGTTTTAGTAAGATTGTAAATAGATTAGTAAAATTTACTACTTCATCGCACTATTATCTTAGTACGAATGAACTCTACAAGGCACTTTTGAAACTTGGAATATAGCCTATTTTGTAGAGCGGACTTGATGCTTTAAAATGAGGCTTAACTGACTTCTATATGACGTATTATTCGATCGATACAATGCTTTTAGTTTGATAAAGCGCGTTATCTAAGATAAGCAGGTGAAAAACATCGGTAAAATTGTTCGTAAAAACTAAAAGCATTGTATCGATCGAATAATACGTCACACAGAAGTCAGCTAAATCTTATTTTAAAGCATCAAGTTCGCTCTACAAAATAGGCTATATTCCAAGTTTCAAAAGTGCCTTGTAGAGTTCATTCGTACTAAGATAATAGTGCGGTGAAGTAGTAAATTTTACTAATCTATTTACAATCTTACTAAAACAAATTATCTTGATAAAATTAATTTCAGTTTTTAATGCTCTTTCGAATGATCTACCTAAAAGTTGAAAATTAAAACAAAATTTTTCTATATTTATTAATTAATCAGAACTAATAATATTCAAAATTACTTCTTACCAAAATATAGCCCATTCAATTTTGCATCCAATAGCACCGAAAAAGAGTTTTTTGATAATTCTTTAAAAGCGAAAAATAAATAAAATATTTTAAAATTTTAAAAGTCCGCTAAATTTTTGTCCACTGAGGAAAAAGTAGTTTCCATCATTAATATTCGAGTAATATGCCTTATAGAATTTTGACTTCATAGACTTGCAGCTCGTTTCGAGAGCTATCGAAATCATTATTTAGTTGTCCTCCACAAGCTATCCTTTATAGAAAAAATCATGAAATAAAAAGTGCTCTAAACTTTTGTCCGCCACTCTATATACTTTCTATCCAAACTCATGTAATTCTTTAGAATTCAACATACTCTTTTTAATCCTAAGCCTTTTTCATGCATATAGGCTAAATTAAACATTGCTTGTGGATTTTGACTTTGATCACTTGCGTATTTATAATGTGTTGCTGCTGTTTCATAATTTTGTTCTGTACCATAACCACTAAACAAAAGATTTAATGATTAATTTGTTTTTTGTTTTTAATACAACACTTACTAATAAAAATAATCTCCTAATTTTACTCGTGCTGTATGAAAACCTTGATTTGCTGCTCTATTCCAATAGATTAAAGCTCTTTGATATTGTTCTTCTTTATTATGATAAATATTTATTAATTGATTTGGCATTTGATCAAGTAAATATGCTACATTTGATTGTGCAACTTCATATCCAAGTTCAGCTAAGTATAAATATTTCATAAATGCTTGTTCAATATGTCCTTGTCTATATAGATTATATGCTTCAATAAATATACTTGACCATTTACCACGTTCAGCAACATTTTTAAAAAGTTCAGTTGCTGTTGTACATGATCTTAAAACACCTGTACCAGTTGCATGCATTTGTCCAAGATTATAATAACCAAGTGCATGACCTGATTGTGATGCTGCTTGAAACCATTTCATAGCCATTTTATAATCACGTTTAACACCTTCACCTTTATAATACATAATACCAAGCATAAGTTGTCCTTCAACATAACCTTGATCAGCTGATAATTGAAAATATTTAAATGCTTTTTCATAATTTTGTTCAATACCAGCACCATGATAAAATGCCATACCAATACCAGCTTGTCCAATAGGATTACCTTTTTCAGCTGAACGTTGAAAAAATTGTAAAGCAGTTACATTATTTTGTTTAATATAATCATTTCTTTCTGAATATAATTTTCCTAAATATGCCATTGCATTTGAATTACCATTTTCAGCAGCTAAACGAAAATAATAAAGTGCTTTATCAAATGCTGTATCACGTAAATAATATAATTGACCAAGACCATACTAATAAAAAGAGACAAAAAGAATAAAGTCAAAAATTTTTCTTTTTTTTTTACTTGAGCTTGTGCATCACCACGATCGGCTAATAATTGATAATATTGTACAAGATCTTCATCAACCATAATATTATTTTGTGTTGGATGTTCTTCTTCATCATATAAACGAATACGTTGAATTAATTGTCCTGTAGCTGATGTCATTTTTGATGAAACTAAATAAAAAAATTTATTTATAAAAT